TCAGCCAAGGCATGCGTACACAATGTTAAAGTCCTATGTACGAGGGGCGTTTCGGGGGGAGGGGGGGTCAATTTTTAGACAAATTTTTGCGTACGTACTTATTGAATGACCCCTTACAAGAAAATCAATTATCTTTTAAGACTTGTCTATCAAATATCATGTAATATGATTGAAACTGGACAGGGAGGTGAGGGGAGTGTCCTATTTGTAATCATCGGTCATATCAGACTCGTCGCTCCCGTAGCTCTGGTCTTGTCGGCGATAGTTCCGCTCATATCCGCCAAAACCGCCGGCGCTCTCACTCTGGCTCTGAAAGCGTTGACTTTGGTGTCGGTGCTGATGGTGGCGCCCAAACCCGCCCGACCCGTACCCGAAACGGCCTATCATTTCCATAAATAATTTTTATTTAATTTTTTTGAAAATCTATTTAATATTAAAATTATAGATTTTATAGTAATTTTAAGTTTTAATATAAGCTAGCACATAATTTACAAACCAATGTCAGGCCTATCGTAGCCGTAGTCACCATACCCTCCATATCCCGGTCCCCAACCTATTAAATCAAATTTAATTTAATTATTTAATTTCAAGATTAAGTGTATTATAATTACCTTGAGCACATGCATTACTTATAATGGTTAACACAATTAAGAAAATAGCTATTAAAATAAGTTTAGCATTCATTTTGTGGTCACAAATAGTTAACTAATATTTTTGTGTCTAATAGTGAGTGAAAGTGAGCCTGATTATAACTGACTACTTATATACTTGTAGTCCTACTATTAATATAGTAAATGTTTTTTTGGGAAAATTTTTAAAACTATTTGTTTAGTGATAAGAAATTGTGTGCAAAACTTTGGGCATATTAATAGTGTGTATTTGATTAAATACCCTGGTGGCATATCTCGTGTAAAGTAAAGTGGATAATACACCAAACATTTGAATATTTATTTTAAATCTCAAAATCCAGATAATATTTTCCTAATAATAAATGTGCAAATAATTGTCAAATCATTACAAATGTCAGTTACTGTTTGAAATAGTTTGTATCGTAAGTGGGCAATATAAATATATATTTTTTTGCCTATTCTGTAAAATAAACAAAATGTAATAGACCTAAAAGTTAACTGAATTTTTTTTTATTTAATAATATTATTTATTCAAATTGTATTGTAATTTATAGTTAATTGTTTGCATTTAATATAAAAATAATTTTTAGTTACTAATTTTGATACAAATAAATAGATAAAAAAACAGTTAATTTAAAAATATTTAATTTAAACTACTATAGAAACAATTAATTTTGTATTAACAGTTAATATAAAAATTAAAAAATTATATCATATTAAATTGGCAATGTAGAGCAATATCAATTTTCGCTGATTAATAAGTTCACGATGTATGTTGTTTGAGCTTGATATAACCTCTCTTAACATGTCCGCTTAAACTTTAAATATAATAATTATTTTAATTATCAATTTAAATATACTGTATGAACAAAATAAAACATACCTGGTTGCTAATAGCGCACAACCAATGCCAAATAAAATCAATGCAACAAACGATATTGACATTTTATACTCAAAATTATTTTTCACAATTACTTTCACTTAATACCTAGCAAGCTAATAGGCTAGCATTTAATGTGGTAGGAAATATATACGTAGAAAATATTGGTTTATATAACAATTTTTATAAATGTCGAGTAATTATGAGTTTGCATTCAATATCGGTGTAATCATTACAATAGTATGACTAATGGCTATATTACTTAAGTGATCCTGGGTATTGCAACAATTCAAATGTACAATTCATCTAATACTCTCTCTCTCTCTCTCTCTCTCTCTCTCTCTCTC